CATGCAAACCTCCTATTACAGCAGAAGTTTAATCATGCATCCAAGCCCTGAAGAAAGGAAAAGCAACAGGACCGGGCAGGCTTCACCCCATTCTTGTCAAGTTGGGAGACGATGACCTCGTAGACTCCATTAGTGATCTAATGCGTAGCATCTGGTCACATGAGCGTATTCCATCATCCTGGGGCGAATCATTGATTGTTCCAATTTTTAAGTAGGAATCTCGCAATGACTGCGCAAACAAACATGGAATGGGCTTGATCCCAATCGTCACCAAGTTACCAGCTTCTATCATACTTCGACGTTTGACACCGTTAAAGGTGACAAATATCCGCGAACAACAAGCAGGATTTCGACCAGGCCGCGGTTGTATCGATCAAATCCTCACTCTGCGTCAAGTCCTCCAGCTACGCTACACGCACCGTCGACTAGCAGCTGTCGTGTTCCTTGACATAAGAGGAGCGTTTCACTCTGTTGACCGCGAACATATTGAGTTCACTCTACTCACATACATCTAGTAGTGTAAGGGTCTACGGCAAGCTGAGCAGGTCGTTCGTAACTAGCAGCGGTGTTCGTCAAGCGTGCTCTATTTCACCATTCCTGTTCAATTTTTTCATAGACTAAACACTGGAGAACACACTAAGTGGTCTCCAAATGTAGGTATTGAATGGGTAGCTGGAGAAAAGTTGTGCGATTTAGAATACACTGACGACATCCTTTGCCTGTTCGAATCTATGGATGATGCACAAAGAGCACTTGACATATTACCAAGTTGTGTCGCTCCGTGCGGTATGTGCTATACACCTTCAAAATGCAAAGTAAGGCTACAATACTGAGTGTCACCGAGTTCCGTTCTGAAACTAGACGGTCAGGAATTAGCTGCAGTCGACTACTTCTCGCACTTAGGTAGCTGTGTGACAAACGACGATAGCGCATCAAAGGAGATAACCACCCGCATTTCCAACCTCGAGCAGCATACGCAGTACTTAAGCATCTGTGGTGGCGACGTGATGTTCCACTAAAGTTGAAAAGTCGCGTATACTGCGCCACTGTACGATCAGTTCTGTTTTATAGTTGTGAGACCTTGAATCTGCGGGTAGAAGACATCCGTCGACTAGTGTTTTTCGACAATCGATGCTTACTTAAGTAGTCTGTCCCAAACGGGATGAAGTGAGCTGGTTAGTAACCTAGCTGTCCGACGATCGCCTACCGCGACGCGCCTTATTCGCGGTGGCTGTTACAGGCTGGAGAAAGCCACGTGGAGGCCAGCAGATGATGTGGAGACGAGGCATGAAGAAATGCACAGACTGATTAGGTAAAGTAGGTGTCCTCGTCTTCCAGGATGGGATTCAAAAGACTCCGAAACCGCAAGGTTGGAGACACGGAAGGTCATGGCTGCGAACCAACAGCAATGGCGGCCATGCTGTTACGTCTTATCAGACCAGAAAGCTCGAAATTGTATGTATGCAGTTGTATTGTGTACCCTGTGTTGAGCATAGCGGTTCACTTTCTTTTCCCGTCCCTCAAAGCAAGTCCAAACGCTATCTTCCTTAAACATTCTCACTTACCTTGTATGCAATACGAGTTTGACAGCGATCAGTGAAGTTTGCTTCACTGTATTACGCTGTACAATGATGATGATGATGATGAATGAGTGGTGACGCTTTGAAGGTTAAGATTTGAATCGTAGGTATTACAATCATATGATGAACCGCTTTGACTTTACGCATGTCTTTGAACACGGCTGTCTCCAACAGGGTAGCTATGAAGGGCAGAAGAGCTATTATGATTGAGAGGAAGACCCGAACTTTGATATGGCATTTTGTTAGTACAAAAACAAGACAAGAATCAAATCCTCTGCTGGTTTAAAGTTACATCATTATCGTTCGTATACTACTGCATTTTATTTCATATAAAAGCTCATTCCCTGTTTGGAAGGACAGAAACTTAACCTTCAGAGACCAGATGTAGCACTTTCACTTATTCCTTTTTTAGCATATTAGTGCATTTCGCAACACCCGAAAACGTTGATCTGTGTGACAGTCACCGGCACACACACTCACACAAGTGCATCATTGTGATGTCTTCGTGAAAAAGAAACAAGGATGGACAAATGAAGAGTGCTGCGGCGAACCCGCAACTGCTAAAACGTAGTGCAGGATCGTGGGTACCCACAGTGTGAACAATAAACCAATCCATGCTGCCAGATCCGCGCACTCACTTCGAGAATGAAACGCATGGCCACATTCGCACTGCTGGCCATGATCTTGGCGCTGTTAGACAACAAAATGATCAGTGTCTGCAACACGGACTCCGCACAACGATCAAAACGATTCTTCAATTCCTGCGAAAGATAGCTGGAAAGATGAGAGAAACGGGATGAGCAGTTTATAGTTGTTAGCATTATTCACTGACCTAATCTGTTAGATAAAACAACAGTCTATGAGTCAAAAATGGTTGCGAAAGACATCATTATTATTATTCGCCAGGGTAAAAGCGATATCTCAGTTATCATTATTGTTGGCACATCAAAATCAGCCACTCCTAGTTTCCGTCCGACGACGCCTAGCTAGTTGCTGTAAGTTCCTCTGAAATTGGATGGAGCAAATCGTCTTGATCGTTGAATATGCTGCTGGGACCATTGAATGATCATCTGAACAAGAAAAAGCATTGCATCAATAGGAAATTGAAGCATTTCACTTCTTCCTCTAGATGTATTTAGTTTTCTTTTAAAAAAACTTTCCATGTCGTGATTATTCGTTGTGTTTCGATCCAGTTTTTACAACCATAAACAAAGCACTCTCATGTTGTCCTGTGGTTGTTTATTTGAATGAAAGAGCATAGGGGAGACTGGGATGTTGAGGAGGGTCAAAGTGAAAATAGAAAATTCTACAGGAACCAGGGTTGTAAACGGAGTGAGAAGATTTATGAGCGCCACTGTTTGCGATACTCAGCCATATCGCTCATTATCTCTAACCATTGATTCCCATTATCCCTATCCAGGATACCTAAAGCGAACCATATGAGCAAGTTTCCTGGTTTGGATTTTCATACTCTCATACCAGGTCTTGGTTAGACCACCGTTTGCTTTTTCCTAGCTATCCCCTGTCTTGGTAAACATGTTTCAACCAGAGTAATCGATTGAAATTAAACAATGGGCAACCAGTGGGCAATTTTGATTACCTAACACTCTACGCTTAACCTATGCTATGCTCGGCCGGTTTCCCCACCAGATTCGTGAAACGCGGCGTACACAGCGATGTTCGAACAACAGTCTATTTGTATGTTTTTGCCGTGATAACCAAGCCTACGCACCATAAAGTAGGACTGGCCGAACTGCTGCAGCATACACTCGACCATTGATAGAGAGACGGATGACGCGACGACACCACAGATGTCTAGAGTTCGCAAATTCCAGCCGAGCCTATAGTATGCATACTGACACTTTATACGTGATGCATCCGCTGGGAGAGATATAGCTGCCCAAAGAGTAAAATTTTTTCACCTGCTTCTTTACTTCAGCCCAATCAGCTGGCCTTGTGAGACTGAGCATTGCCTGGTCCCTATCCACTGACCTGTCAGACATGATTAGATCTGCAGCTGCGTAGCGCTCAGTCCCGGAGGCAAGCAGGCTATCAAATCAGGTTAAGGTGCAGTCTCGTCCCTATGGACGAAATTCACTGAACCCATGAGTTCTGCTAACTCCAAGACCAAGAATGAACCTTCATCCATAAAGGTCGATAGGGACAATCCATACGAGTCCGAAGCACTACCATACCCTCAAAAAGAACTTATTTCTCGGGTAACCTATATTTCAAATGGAAGACTGACACCAAATGGCGGTAGCTGCCCATCAGAAGATGAGTTGTGCCAGATGGCAGCGGTCAAGCGGTATAGATCACTGATACATCGGTAATTTCAAAGTTTGCTTAAGTGTAATCATGCTCTAGGAACCTTGTTTCCGAAAACTGATTAGGTAATCACACAAAGAAGAAAAAATCTTCGGTACGTTTTAGGTCACCGTTGATCTACGTGATCTTCCCATCTCGAATTCAACAACTCAGCGGTCTCTGGTTAAAAAACGTTATCAGTTCTATTTGAACCTTAAAACAACAGATTTTATTTTCCGCTAATCAGGTTATTTTATTCCTCCGTCGACCCTAAATACATCCAAAATCATGCTTTTGTGCCTTCCATCTCAGGGTTCAAAAGTTCAGGAGTCGCTAACTACTTTTACCCTTATCCAACAGATGTTCGACCATGAAATCTGTGTGGCATGTGAATATAATTGTGCCATCCTCCATCGTTCAGTATTACACCGGTTATGCACTGACCAATGGCTTTTTTGGCAATGTATGCATTCTAAGGAAACGAATAATGAATAAAAGTCGAGGTCCCAGTGGAAAAGCTCTTGGTGTCCTTTTCTTCACCGCCTTCCTCGTCTCTGCCACACCT